TACCCAAAGCTCGTGATCAGGTAAAGGTAGGAACGTAGATCGCGATGTGAACTGAAAGCTCTCTTCACCACAACAGATCGGTAATACGCCCGCATCCATGCAGACGCAGCACCAATCCCCGTCGATCTTGTGTTCCATCTTTTCCTCACTGGTATACAAGACCCCGAGATACTTAATGTCCTCCACTTAGGGTAGGACCTCATCCCTGACCTGGAGAATGCATTCTACCATTTTCCGTCTCAAGGTCATGGTCTCGGATTTAGAGGAGCTGATTCTCATCCCACACTGCGAACCGCTCCAGTCAGAGCTGGAGATCATGTTCTGATGAAGCCAACAGGACCACATCATCTGCAAAAAGCAGACTCAATCCTTAGGCCACCAAAACAGATCCATCAAAACCATGGCTATGCCTAGACATCTCGTCCATAAAAGTTACGAAACAGTGACAAAGGGCAGCCTTGGCAGAGTCCAACTCTCACCGGCAAGTCATAGAGCTGGTCCAGTGTTCCATGGCCAGGGGAAAGCAGTGCGCTAGCAACATGTTTATAGTGGGGACTGTGTGCTGCTGACCTTGACTCAGGACATTGTGGATCGGTGGGAAGATATATATATATATATATATATATATATATATATATATATATATATATATATATATATATATATATACATATATAATTTTTTATTATTTTTTTCCCGTGTCCTGTCTGGCTGTGAAGCAAACAGAATTAATGTCTGAATGCTGGTGACAAGCCTTACAGAATTACTCTCAGGTGGAGCATCAAAGCGTCTGCTTTTAATGTCACGCCTGATACTTCAAACTTTATTGTTATTGTTTTTTGAATGCTTTGTAATTCCGACCAGACACGGAGACAGAGGTGAAAGAGAAAGGAAGAGACAAAAGGTCGGGAGGGTTCCACAAAATTAAACTATCAATGACGAACAAGAGTCTGCTTCTAGACCTGCAGAAAAGGGACAAACAACAACACAAACAGGAGCAAGCTATCACTGAGTCAACTTGATGAAGAAATATAAAATCAACATTGTTTTACTGAATAAGCACACAATAATAAATCACACTGCATTTAGTGCAAACCACAGCCTTAAGACATGTGTTGAATGGGCCCAAGTCCATACTCATGAGAGCACTATATGAGCACCTGTGTGTGTGCACGCGCTTGTATATGTAAGGTTTCTCTATAGGAGTGTCCAATAGAGAGTGTGAGGGGCCACATATCTGCTGCCAAAGATGTGTAGGAGATGGAGGGAGCTCCAAGTCCCAGAGATCCAGGAGCTGCTCCAGAGCACAGGGACCCAAAGGAGATAGCGACCAGAAAAGCCCCTGCCCCCTCGAGAGGCACAGAGGGTCGCCCCAGGGTGCCACAACCAGCAGCTGGCAGAGTCCCGGGAGATATCAGCGGCAAGCTCACAGGCCCAACCACAGGCCCGCCCGCAGCCTCCCACCCCCCAGCCGGCCAAGCCCAGGACCCAGGGGCGACCACCCCGGCCGAGGGCCCAGCAGAGCCCAGGGACCCAGATCCCATCAGGCAGCCACCGGGACTGATCAGGCAGACACCAACAATCTTAAACCCCCTGACCCAGGAGCCACGAACACTCAGGCAGACCAGGGAACCGCACTCCACACCAGGTGTGACAGGGGGAGGGGAGACAAAGATGTATAGCATCAAAAGAAGTCCCAGAAGAAGGGAGGAGCCAAAGGCCCCACCTGACATATACAGTCATACACAGACACAGTCACACACTCCCTCCCTCATGCTCACACATACACATACAACCAAAGACTTACAAAAAGGCACGCCGGACACCCATTCATGCTCCCCATACACACCCTATTCACTCTGGTCCCGGTACTGCTGCACATGGGTACAACCATCACCGGCTCCCAGAGTTCGACCCTTTCTGCTGGGGTAATGACGAGCAGGCTCCCCCGCCCAACGCTGAGCAAAGCAACCCACCACCCCAGACCCCAACCAGACGGCCAGATCTCCCTCCTAGCCTCCAGTCCCGGGAAGCCAAGCGACAACAGAGGTGTGCTAAGACCCCTAGTCTCCCTCCGCCTGCTCTAATATAGTGTTGTTGTGTGTTGATGAGGTGTATTGCATGGCTTTGGTGAGCGGGCAGTGCTGGCATCATCTGGCCTATGCCAGCTGATGCCACCACACCACCCCACTTGCACCCACAGCCCTCGGTGTCTAAGTGCAGTTTAAAATTGGAAGTTGGCACCGGCACTCGGGATGAGGCTGAAAAATCCCCCTGCCAAATGCCGTTGAATGTGCTCACTCCCAAGGCCCTAAGCGTGTTTGCGTGGAATGTCTCTGTTGGAAGTGTTTAAGGTGCATATAAAATTGGGGGCCAGGTTGCCACAGGAATGCGGAAATAGAGTCCATACCCACACTCCCTGACTTGTCCATCCCCCAAGATCCTATGTGCATGTCTGTGTGATGATGTGAGGGAGCAGAAGGAGGAAAATGTGTGGGGATGGAGAGGAATGGCTGGTTGGACTTAAGCCCTCCAGGGAGCCAGGGAGCCATCTCGCCCACTGGCCCCAATAGGCGCCTCTGTTGCAAAAATGCCAAACAGGGCATGGAGACCCCAGCCCATGTTGCAGAGCCCAAAGCAGCAGCATCGCAGAGCCTCACAGAGTCTGAGGGCACGAACCCAGTCCCAACCCAGCAGAATATCTATGCCCATCCCTGCATTTGCACAACTTCCAGAACATATAAGACATAGGACATCCAGGTAAGGTTGGGTCCTCCCCCTCCTGGACATCCCCCTCCCTGTGATGGGACAGCAGAGGAGCCAAGGTCTACCCGAGGCTCCTGAGCCTGGGCCAGGCACTGCTGCATGTCCCCGCCTTCTTCCAAGCAGCATACATGTCAGGACTCGACCCCAAGGCCCCACCCAGATCCCCACATGGGGCCGGTTACCCCCACACCCCGAGTCCCCAGACCCCACTCAGACCCACCCAAGGTCAATGCAGCTGCCAGGCAGCGACCCATGGCCTCTGCCAAGACCCCCAAGGGGCCCCACACACAACCGCCATTAATCCACCCCCCGAGGCAACCCAAGCACCTCCAGAGGGTGGCAGCAGCCCCCCAGTCCCAGAAACTCCCAGTGAACCCACCTCCAGGGAATGTCCGGATACTCCAAACTCAGACCCTCCACCCCATCACCCACATCATCCCGCAGGACAATATTTATGATCCCCCATCATTGCTATGTGATGGAACCGATCAAAGGAACCCAGAGAGATTGATTTGAAGTGGAAGCAGAGGCTATATCAAGTGTAATATGATCTAACAAAAGATTTCTATACTGGTTAATGCAAAGAGTTTCTCTATTTTTCATATTCAAGAGGATAGTTTTCTTAGCGATGCATATGGCAATCAGAACCACGTGAGCCACAGATGTTTCAATCGGGACATCGTCCAGGTTTCCCAGTAAACAAAGCGAGGGGGAAATTGGGATATGGCATTTCAGACATTTTGACAGATCCTCACATACTATACCCCAAAATTCCTGGACAGGTGGACAGGACCACAGTGCATGAATGTAATTGTCAGGAATGTTGTTTGTGCAGTGTGTACAGGTGTCAGACGACACAAATCCCATCTTAAACATCCAATGACCTGTATAGTGTACTCTGTGTAGAATTTAGTACTGAATTAATTGTAAATGGGGTGTCTGATCATTTTAAAAGTCTTTAAACAAGTTTGGGACCAGAAGTCCTGGTCAAAGCTGACTGATAGATCCACCTCCCATTTTTCAATAGGGATTGATATTCGATCGTCTATTTTGGACAGTGTCTTATATACTTTAGACAGTAGTTTGGGGGGTTGAGATTATAGAAGTCTAATACCCTTGGTGGTGTTTGTAATTCTATTTTATTGAGCTTAAATGTTTGTTTTACTACAGATTTAATTTGGTGATATTCTAAAAAGCTATTCTTATCTATTCCAAATTGGGAGACTATTCTATTAAATGGGATGAAGTCCAATCCTTCATATATGTGTTCCAGGTATAGGATTCCTTTATTTTTTCCAGTCCGGAAGGTTCATCATTTGGTTATTTAGGAAAATATCAGGATTGTTCCAGATAGGTGTGCATCTGCATGGTACTAGTGAAGACTCTGTCATTTTAAGATACTCCCACCATGCTGTCAGAGAGGTGCTGATACTAATTCTTTTGAAGCTTTCATGTTTTCTTATGCTTGAGCTAATAAATGGTAAGTCTGAATGCTCTATCGTATTGCAAAGTGTCTGTTCTATATCTAACCAGGACTCATCTAGTGGGTTATCTTTCAACCATCTTGGTATATATTGCAGCCTGTTGGCTAAGAAATAATAATAAAAGTGTGGGCAGAGTATTTTAAAGACCTCCTCAATTTTGAGCTCTCAATATGAATCAGTGTTCTACAATTTATTACCCTTTGGAAGAAGCAGCTATGTCAGAACTCGGGGACTGGATAATTTTGGGATTTCCCTGGGTGTGTCAGTTGAGGGCATCTGGGGGAGCCCATCACTCTTTCAGGGGACCCAGGCTCCCCCTAGCTCCCCCATAATTTCAATTCTGCCAAAGTCCTTAGACATTTGTTAAATCTTGTATAAACTACTATTGATACAAGTTCAGTCAGCAAACTGTCCGGTTGTCTTATAGTAATTTGAATTTAAGTGCACCTGTCTGTCTGTCTTAGAATAGACCCACTTTGAATATTAAAGGCCAAATATATTCCCTCTCTTCGAGGAGGTACTATGCTGAGTTTGTTTTTATTCCAACACATTTTAAACACTGCTTTTGAGTGAAATTGTTTTGTTTGTCACACAGTGTGGAAGCAAAATATAAATCCCCAAGCTTTAATTTGTGTCCTTGCTGTTATTGTTTCCACAAAAGACTTCCGTATCCACTTTCGTGGACATTTTGTCCCCCCACCCCCCCACCCCCCACCACCACACACACACACACACACCACACCCCCTTACCTGATTCGATCTGGCACACGATGGGTTTGGTTGCCGTCGCCCTGGCAGTTACCAGCGTACTGTGCCCTGCTGTTTGGCCCCTGGTCTCTCCTTAGAGCCATCGCCCCATGAGTGAGTACTGAAACTCCCTTGGCGATTCGCCTGAAGGATCAGCAAGACAATAGTGTGATAATGGGGCACTTTAAAGGTCTTTTCTGGCATGATCAAGTTCAAGGGGATTTCTGAACAGGAAACGGAGACTGAGTGGACGTGAGTCATGGTTGCTTGAATGAAGCTGCAACAAGGATTCCCACAGAGAAATAGAATAGAATAAAAAACTTTATAACTTCAAGTTGGTCTGGAAAAAAAACCCATCTGAATGAAAACATGGATGATGGCTATGAAATGATGAGTATAAAATTAAAGTGTGGTTAAACACTACAGTGTACAACTTGTAATAATAATAATAATCATAATAATCATAATAATAATAAATGCCTCATTTAGATTACCCAAAGTGCAAACTATGACACTTCCTGTGATGTTTTGAGGGATAATTCTGTAGCTGCAATCTAAACTCAACCATCTAACTTTTAATGAAATGAGACAAATAGGCTAATACATTAAAATAAACAGAAAAGCCACAAAAGATCTGACTTGAAAAATATTGTGGTCAGCTTAAAACAACAGTCCACTAAATTTGCATTCATTTCATTTTTTATAATTCACTAAATTAACAGTTAAGAAAACTGTGATGCTAAATATAGCAGCTGATGTTCACCTTTAATCAAGAACAAATCACTTTCTAAATTTATTCCTGTGCTGAATAAATAAAAATAACTTGTTTTTGTCTCACGTTGATCAGACTTTGATTTGAAGAAAGCTCTTGATAAATGGCACTGAAAAAAAATAGTCGCTAGAAAAAATGTTAACTAAAAATAATTAAAACAATACTTCCTGCATCCTGAATGCTGCAAACCTCAACAGTGAGGAAGGAAATACGATTGGATGTGAGGTCACAAAACATGTAAAAGCTTAAGTTCAGTGCAGAACAATTTCAGAGTAGATGAACGTGCAGAACAAGACCGGTGAGAGAGTTGTTAAACAATACAGAACAAAAGGGGAAAAGCTAATAAAACTGTTGAATTATCAGCTTCTGCTGGAGTGAAAGCTTTTTTTATGAAGATCAGTAGCATGTTCACATATTCCTTATTGTGTTATATTAGTGTATTGATTATTCAAATTCTTGCCACTTAATCCATGTCAATGAAATAACAAAAACACCAAAGTCAGTAAAGAGATTTAAAATAATGCTAATTAGAAGACATAGGGCAAAGACATAAATGAAAAACAACTAAATACATAATTTTTTCTATGCCTTTAAAAGAGAAGAAAATGATGTACAAACAAATACAATGTGTTTTCAAAGAGCTTTTAAAATTTTATGAAAATAAAAGAATACCAACAAAACTGTCTCTGCTGGTTAGTCTAGCGCCGCTCCGTAGATTCAGTAGGTCTGCCGTTGGCTCTGCTAAGTTTAGAACCGGCCAATCACAGCACACTATGTTTGTAGAGAGATGTTGGTCAGGCTTAGCACCAAAACTACAAAAATGATGGCAGCTCAGAGTTTGGTATTTATTTATTTAACTTATATTTTTCTTCCCAGGAGGATAAACTGCTTGAGATGTGGCATCTCGTTTTCGAGCAGGTACTCCTACCATACAACAAGTAAAGAATAAGGAGGCAAAGTGGTTAAACCATAACAAACTAAGAGAAATAATAACAATAATAATAATAACACTTGCTGTGGCTTACCCCATGTATCTGTAGGCATATTTGTAACAACACATATAAAATACACATACACAATCATTAACAAATAAAAATTTAACAATAGAAAAACAACATTAATTGAGTGCGGCTACGATATTAAACACAACAGGCAAAACAATTACAAGTTGGCTTCACATGCTCATAAATGGAATTACGAAATAAACAACATGGGCTGTCACCTTACCGTTGTAACATCCAGCAATGGTCAGTTTTAGGTATAGTTTGACCTTTCAACATCTATTCAACATCTGGTCAAACAGGAGACACAAGACTGCATGTGTTCCCTTTAAATGAGCCTGCCTTCATACCAGCTGGAGCTCACAGACTGCATCTCTGGCAGCAGATAACTACATGTGAACAATAACTTTCTTACCAAAGGCCTCCACATAAGGAACACTCCAGCTCGGATCAGTTGCTAAATTCAAGAATGATTTCTTAAATTAATATGAACTTCTTCCATGACTTACAATATAGATAATCATTAAATAAACGTTTGTTTATTGCTACTTATAATAATTATATTATAATGAAATGCTTCATTATTCTGTGCTCAATGATTGAAGTTTGAAATGAATGTTATGTCTACAATGACTGCAATGTGGTTCCGCAGGTTTATGTGGCAAAGGTCATAACATCTGCACTCACACCATAACAAGTAAGGTTACGTCTTTGAGTGATTCTGCTACGTTATTTGTGTGGTTTTGTCACTATATGCTGATCCACTTAGCGCTGAAGCCATTTCTGATTTAGCACCAGAGCTAATCAGCTTTGACCGAGGACTGATCAACCGAGGTTAGTCCGCTGGGTATCCGCCGCGATACCGGACGTTTCCGAAGCTTATACCGGATTATACCAGGCAGAGACCTGAAGCTGCAGTTGTAATCCGACTCAGATCGTGCATTATTCCCTTTAACTTGTCTCAAGCACCGGCTGCTACATTAGCTCCGGGTGGAGGGGTGACGTAACGATGTACCATACCATTTAACATTCCGCTATCCCGACAAATTAAATTACGAGAACCTGTGGAAGGCATACCGTGTGGTCAAAGAGGTTAATTCCCTTGTGAATTTATGCCTAGACGCCTGATCAAGTGATCAAGGCCTGACGCTGAGGTGGCTATATAGAGTTAGCGTTAGCTGTTTAGCCCAGAGATAAAACACTGAAGCTCCTTCAAGTTTTGTCAACAATCTGCCGCAGCGAACCTGCGTCTCCACTCAAATCCCTCCGGGGTATACTTTGTGGCTTTATAAATCGATGAATTTATGCCGATAATTCTAAAAGAACAGCTTATTTACTACGTTCTTTTATTTGGTCAAACAGGAGACACAAAACTGCATGTGTTCCCTTTAAATGAACCTGCCTTCATACCAGTAGGAGCTCACAGACTCTGTAGCTCTGGCAACAGATAACGACATGTCAACAATAACTTTCTTCCCCAAGGCCTCCACATAAGGAACACTCCAGCTCGGATCAGTTGCTAAATTCAAGAATGATTTCCTAAATCAACATGAACTTCTTCCATGACTCATAATATAGATAATCATTAAGTACACGTTTGTTTATTGCTACTTATAATAATCATATTATAGTGAAATGCTTCATTAATCTGTGCTCAATGATTGAAGTTTGAAATGAATGTTATGTCTACAATGACTGCAATGTGGTTCCGCAGGTTTATATGGCAAAGGTCATAACATTTGCACTCACACCATAACAAGTACGGTTACGTTAAACTCTGACACATAAATAGTCTTTTACCCAGTCAGAACATCCGGTCAAAGAAGGCGTGTTTCTGTGTTGTCTTGGTAACATCTCTCAAGCCGGTCAGCCTTTGATTGGTTGTGTAAATCATAACATCAAAACCTTCAAACTGGATCACTCTGTGTGATTCGGCAGTTCCAGAGAAAGCTTCAGACCGGCCAGCTGAAGCACACCTCTTTAACCCATCAAAGATTTTGACATGTCGTCAAAACCTTTTTGCACCTGCAAAGCTGATGAACAACAGTTCCTGCAAAACAAGATGATATTGCTTGCATCCCCTGTGATGGGACAGCAGAGGAGCCAAGGTCTACCCGAGGCCCCTGAACCTGGGCCAGCCACTGCTGCATGTTCCTGTCTTCTTCCCGGCAGCATACATGTCAGGACCCGACCCCCAAGGCCCCACCCAGATCCCCACAAGGGGCCGGCCACCCCCACAACCCCGAGCCCCCACCCAGACCCGCCCAGGGGCAATGCAGCTGCCAGGCAGCGACCCATGGCCGCTGCCAAGATCTCCAAGGGGCCCCACTCACAACCGCCAGTAGTCCACCCCCCGAGGCAACCCAAGCACCTCCAGAGGGGGGCAACAGCCCCCCAGTCCCAGACACCCCCAGTGAACCCACCTCCAGGGAACATCCGGATACTCCAAACTCAGACCCTCCACCCCCTCACCCACATCATCATGCAGGACAATATCAACTGTCCCCCATCATCGCTATGTGATGGAACCGATCAAAGGAGTCCAGAGAGATTGATCTGAAGTGGAAGCAGAGGCTAAATCAAGTGTAATATGATCTAACAAAAGATTTCTATACTGGTTAATGCAGAGAGTTTCTCTATTTTTCCAATTCACGAGGATAGTTTTCTTAGCGATGCATATGGCAGTCAGAACCACATGAACCAAAGATGTTTCAATCGGGACATCTTCCAGGTTTCCCAGTAAACAAAGAGAGGAAATCTCCACTTTCCGACTGCTGGCGCTCATTTTCTCACCGTCTTCGTCGTACTCTCCTCTCTCTCTCTCGCCTTTTTCCTCCTCCTCATTCCCTCTCGTCTCCCTCCACCCGCATGTGCTCTGCTGTGTGTCTGAGTCGATCCTCCCACTTCCCCGCCCCTGCTGCTCTGTGTGTGGACAGTCTGGACACGCAGTTACACAAGTTGACCAATCGCCTGTAGGTTTCACCAAAGCAAGAGGGGAATGGGGAGGGGACGGCTCCCAATGACGAGCCGGCTCCCGTCGTTCACTTCAAAGAGCCGGCTCTTAGAGCCGGATCGTTCGCGACCGACACATCACTACAACAATAATATGTTTATTTCCATTAAAGGAAATTTTGGTGAAGATGGCTTCAAAATGCACCGGTTTGACTAAAGGAACAATGACCTGAGACATCAGACTAGAGGAGACATAGGTGGCAACCCCGCCCCCCTAGACCCTCTATCCGCATGAAATAAAACATAATTGTCAAGAAATATGTGATTGTCTGGGATGTTTCCATTTAACCAAGTCTCCGACACTGTAATTATTTTTGGTTTATTATAGCCAAACCAAGCCTTTAATAAATCAATCTTAT